CCCAAAACCCCAAAACCCCAAAACCCCATGAGGAGTGGAAGATTTAAAATATATGAATAATTAATGATTCAAACTCAAAATTAAGTTAGTGGTAAATCCTTGTGGTAATAATCCCAAATGTATAATGTAATTATCAAGGGAGAGACAATTAGGAATCCAACTAAGACGATAGTATTCATAGTTTCTTGAGAAAAAGGCTAATACTTCATCTAAACAAAGGACCAAATTGTAGCAATAACTTACGCTTTGAATAAATGGCATGTGTAAACTTACAAACTCATTATCTTCGAATGAATGAATTCAATATATTCTTACAACAATAAGTTCTTAGAATGCTCCACTAATAAGGTTGCTTATAGCTTTCGCTGTATTTGGATTGAATCTTCCTTTAATGAGTATCTTCATGTAGACATGTCTATAGAAGAATAGATATGTAAATCTTAACCATTTCCCATAGAATTCCTCTACTGATGTAGAATTCCACCAGTCCTAATAGAACTCCCGATCTGCATATAAAGTCAACTCTGACACAGCATTTGGCATTGATTCAAACAACAAGAATATTGTAAGCATTATCATCGCTATTATTGACATCTAGAGTTTAAGATACAGCTCGAAAACAGGTACGTTTAAATTTGTTTTAACTAAAGGAATAATGTCCTCTGTAACAATCATGTATTAAATAAACTATTTATTTATTTATTGAAAATTAGTCTTACAATATTTGATAAGCCCATTAAAGTGTGACAGAGGAAGTAGATTGGTCTGAATGAAGACCTTCTTGGATAATTTATTTCATAGACAAGCGTCGGAGTAGCCAGGTATAATAAATAGTCAACAACATTTACCTATGATATTGATTTATTATTGATCATTCAAGTTGCTTACATTTTCAGGGTACTGTTAAAGGCCAGATTTATTTTCTGCCTTAGGTTTCTTCAGTATTTTCTATTGCTGAATATGTTTTTCTCTCAATTCAAGATTTGTTAGTAAATAAGAGTGCATCTTATAGAAGATCACTTAGCCATGAATAGAAAGAAACAGGAAGTGAGATAATGGCCATCTACAAAGATTTATTAGTCAGTGATAAATTACGTGGGATTGGTTCTTATTATGTAATAGATTGAAACGAAAAAGAACACCTCTATTCCATATTAAACATATTTCATGATTTGCTCTGGAGCTCCCATTAAGATAGCCTTTTGAATGAAAAATGCACTATAAATGATTAGATAAGATTAAATCATATTACAAGAAGGAAAATGCTAGAAAGTAGATGTTTGCATAAATGATATTTCCGAATTCCTCAACTATTGAGTTAATCAATTCTGGATCTACAGGTCTTCCCATTTTCACCCAGTTACCCTATCATTACATGACGATATGTTTGTATCTTACAATTGGTTTGTGAATGATGACCATGACAAAGATAGTAAGCATCGCATTGAATATGCCTTCATAATTAGTTTTCTTGATCCAAGAGTTAAGTTACACAAAGTCAAAAAGTGAATTTCTTGCTGCTACGATGTTACCCTTGAGTAAGACTCTTTGCTCGATCTCAAGCTCACTACCACTGGTAGTAGTAATCAGAGTGGGTTCCTCTTGCTTTGCAGAGTCTGACTATTTTCCTTGTCTTTTCATTATATTATTTATAAATCATAATTTCTCACTCATTCATTATTAATCATGAATACCGGGGTTTTGGGGTTTTGGGGTTTTGGGG